TTAACCTTTGGATTAATAAACATTTTAATTTAAAATACAATAATTAAAAAAATTCTGTTTTAAAAGTCGCTAAAGAATTGAAAGTCGTTGAATAAATGATTTATTTAAAACTCCTACGTAGTTTCCGCCGCTTTATTACTATTTATGTACATTTTTATGTTCCTCTGTTCTACACAAAACAAAAAAAAAAATATCTTAATTTCCCTTCGAAGCGTAAATTAAATTATCTACACTTTTGTATTGAAAGATATCAGTTGAAAGCAAGAACAAGAAAAAATATCACATACTAACATAATTACATCACCTGCGAATAATTTAATTGAATAAAATGTCAGGTTCATTTGAAAGCAGTTCTACTTAGGTTTATTTATATATCATTTGAATTAGTCGTCGTATCGTTGATAAAAAATTTAATTAAAATAAAATACAAAAAATTTCAAATGAAATAAAATAAAATAAAATAAAAAAAAAAATATATATATATATATATATAAATAAATAAATAAAACAAAAGAGTATAATAAGTCAGGCAGACAGACAGTCGTTTGCTTCTATTGCCAATATTTACAACCACGCGGAAGAAACAGAAGAAACCATGTTGGGCTTTCAATTGCGTACAACTATGGGTACAATTTTAGATATATACGTATGCGTATATGTATGCAGATATCTACATTTGTATAGAATTAAATTTGTTTGGAGATGTACATAAATAAAGTAACTAATATATGTATGTGGCATACGGCTTTTACTTTATTTCTATCTGTTAGCTGAAGAATGTACGTCATTAGTACTGCCATTGACTGGCTGCCTGCCTGCCTTTATGTTTCAAAATATTACAGTAAACAGTATATAGTGAACACTGAACACTGAACACTGTACAGTGAACAGTAAACACTGAACAAAGTCTATAGTCAAGAATGACAAAAGTAAGAGTCGCAGTTAAATTATAAGAGGAGTGTTTCACTCGTAGGTTTTATGGGTTCACTTTTCTTGTTCTACATATAAAATCGACAAACACAAACACAAACACATTAACTAAAATATTGAGATCACATTTATTACATATTTGAAATGTATATTGTAGATACATTAACGCATTCATTCTATACAATGAATACACCTATATCTACAGATATGTTGTAAAAGGCAAAAAAAAGAAAAAGAAAACATCTGTATCTGATATTTATGTCTTTTATAAGTTGCTTAAGTTTTCTTTTGAAAGTCAATACTACTGAACACCATTCGACGACCAAGAGAATTTTGCGCTTTGCAGTTAAGTATCGATTGAATAATTTATTAACTGACAACTTGTCAATATTTTTAATTGGAACTCACTCTGTTTAAGTCCAACACTACAATAATGCAAGGTTTAAATATTTACTTTTTTAAACAAAGTCAACACCTTTACTCTTTATTATTTATTTTATTTTTGTACTATTTACGAGAGTTAAACTTGTGCTATATTTAGTCATAAAGTTTTTATTTGAATTAAAATTGCTCTCAAGTCACTCTACAGTTAGTAAATTAAAAATTAAATTTTAACACCACAATACAAATTGCATTTAGTCCAATTGTTATCTTAATAAGATAAGATAAAGTGGATGTAACGATGTACCCATCTCTTCTGTAATTTGTTACAACGACTGTAACTTATTATCTGCACATATTTTATAACGATAATTTAATTGATTTTTCAGCATTTAATAAACTACAAATTAAAAGATAAATTAAATTATGTGATATTTTAATTTATTCTCATAAGTTTTTTAATTAAAAAACTTTTATAACGCTTTATACTGTATATAAATAAAGGTAAATATCTAAAAACTATATTGAATAAGAAAGGTAAAGAAACAGCTGGCGAACATGCTAAAAAGGGTGTTCTAAGTTCTTACATAGAATCCAAAAATTATGACTGGGCAATTAACCGTTATGCAGTTATAAGTCTGATAGTTATAAGTCTGTTCAAACCTCCAGTTTTCTGGTAACTGAAGGTTTGAACACAAAAATAAACAAATCCAGATTGTTTTATTCTACTATCAGACTTATAACTGGCTAACGATTATTTACCCAGTTATAACTTTTTTTGGCAACTGGAACTTTGTCATTATCATGTTTGCATACTTTTTCCTCTGTGCTCAAAACTCTAGCATCTGTATCTTTGTACTTTTACTGTCATAACCATATCATAATTACAAAGCCCTATTTTGAAAATCTAAAGCAGCCCTGATGAACCTTTAGGATGTTTGTCACAAATGATATATAAAAAACTTTCTCTAGCACATTTCATATACAATAGTATATTCTTCATAAGTATAGTAAGCACACCTATCCAAAGTTAATAAATATATTAGTTGATAATTTAAGTTAAATATTTAAAATTTAAAACTTCAGCCAGTTCTTCTTCTAGACATCTGGGTCTTTGGCAATAATAGGTCAAAGTTAAAAATGAAGGTTTTAGTACATTTTTATTAATGTTTTTATTAAGTTACACCTTTTATTATTTCTATATATTTTTTACTATTAATATTTTCATTATATTACTATTATTATATTACTTTATTATTATTATTATTGTATGCTTTTTTGTACGAACTTATAACATTATACGAACGGACACGCTATAAAATACAATTTTGTATTTTTTCACTCTGATAAGCCTAGGTAGTTTCTAGGCGAAAAGTGTAAGTGGAAACTTACCTTTGAATATCTATTGATATTGTAACCTCTCGCAGATAAAACACAAACGTACGGAGATTTAGCTGTATATCTAATATTTTTTATTTATTAATTAGTTGTATCAATAGTCATTTCTAGTTATTTTAACATCCGTTTAATTATATTAGTATTTATCGTTAACATTATAGTTCCATTTTTAATTATTTATTTATTTATATTTTATCATTTTTAATTATATATTGTTTTAATTGTGCTATTTTATCTATTTATTATATATTTATGGTAGTAAAATGTTACTACATTTAATAGTATTTAGTTTTTTTTATATCTTTATAATCATCTAAATATTTATACAGGTTATTATTATGCTTCCATTCATTATTTATTCAAATTATTATTATGTTTCTATTCTTTATTTATTTATATTTTTTTATAATCATTATGCTTCTATACTTTATTTATTTATTTATGTTTTCATTTACATTTTTATATCTTTATTCATATTTTCATATCTCTATTTATACAGCTTATTATTATGCTTTTATTTTTTTATTTATTTATATTTCTATAATTCTTTATGCAGATTATTATTATGCTTCTGTTCTTTATTTATTTATTTATTTTTTTTATTTTTTATTTATTTATTTTTTTATTTATTATATTATTTATTTATATTTTATTATTGCACTTTATTAGTACCATTACTAGTATTTAGTTATATCTTTATTATCAGTAAATCATCATTTGATATGGGTGTAAAGCATCCCATCACGTAGTTTATAGTATTTTATGGCTAAGTATACACCTTTTTGTTCTGGTGAATCTCCGGTCACGAGCCTTCACCATGTCCGGGTGTTGTCATTAGGCAATACACTATGGGCATGGGTTCTTAACCATAACAATGGTTATGGAACTATGACAGTGACAAAACCTTAATTAGTAGATAACTAGACGTTTGGACACATAGATATACAAATTCAAACTTGAAGTCTTCAGTAAATGTTTATATCTCAGTTATTAGCGGTTAATTTTTTAACCGAAGAAACATTTCCTGTATTTTTTAATATTCTGTATAAAGGAGGGTTTGTGAACAAAATGATTTAAAGACAAGAAAGGATACCTTGGTTCAAAGAACAAATAAAAAAATTATACGCGAAAATATGAAATGAAGACACTTTATATAGAAACATTCTATACATATTATATTATATATATACTTATGCTTAGTCTGATGAAGTGGTAAACAATAATCCAGTAAAGGCATAAAGAGGAGTTTTGAAGATACCTCGGAGTTAATAAAGAGTAAAAATGCTTAAGTGCACTGGCTCAAATAGCTTCAACATAATAATATATATAATGTCAATGTAGTATATTGCTTATATAAGTATATAATCTTATATATTTTTACTGCATTTTTTGAATGCAGTAAGCGTGTAAGTCGTCATTACACCAACAAAACTATAGAGCTACTTGTGTATACTATTGTTTTTATGACTTTATTTAATTAATGGTTGCAAAACGCATCAAAAAAGTAATATTTGAAACTGCCATATGTGTAAAACGTACCTTTAATACAAAATATGAGTATATGGCAGTCAACAAATTTTGGACATTATTCATTAGCACACATAATATAGTAGGTACATATGAGTGTGTCTATATGTACTCGTATGTTTCTCTATAGACAATACTCATTAATGCAAATTATGTTTATGGCTATATATATTATTGATTTTCATTACAACTAATTGTTTTGTGTAGTTTTTTAAATGCCTTTAATAATGTGAATATACACAAAATATCACATCATTTTTTTCTGTCAATAATTAAAATTGTGAATTCGCTCTGTCAATTTGGTTTAAAATTTTTGCTGTGTAGGTGGAAAACTCAACGAATTAAGAATTGTTCATTTTTTTGCATTGTTCTTATATTGTTTTTTATATAAGCACATAAAATTTTTAAATATACGCTTTGGTTGTTAGCAATAACTTTAGTATAAATATTTACTATAGTAACGCAAAATTGCAGCCTCAGTCTCAGTCTCAGTCATGGACAGAGCTTCAGCTTAGTTCAATAGATGTGAATAACTAATGGAAAAATATTTCAAGTTAAAAAGAAATGCTGTGCTCAGTTCAAAATTGGCGTTCCGTGTTTGAACTTGAAGCTTTTGCTTACAGTTTCTGATTTCTGTTCAATTTAGTTAACATTTGTTTAGTATAAAATATACACTTTTGTTTATAGTTTGTTTATGTAAACTTTACCAAAATATATAAAATGAATTGTTATTAATATTGACAAATTGTTTTCTCTCTTTCCAGCATAGTTTTATGAATCAAAATCTGATAGTGTATAAGAAATCAGAAAAATAAAACAAGAAAAAAGAATCCAAGTGAAATAAAAAAGCAAACTTAACATAATTATATTATATATGTAAAGTTTCACAATACAACGGCTGATTTTTCCAAAAATTTTATAAATCTCTGACAGCCGCAGTCAAAGTCAATAGTGTAAACATTCGGTGAGAGACTTGAGCCAACAAACTAAGCAGAGTGGAACTGAGAAAAACAAGCTTAACAACGCAACGAATACACGTCATTTGACCTACGCTGAAGAGAGATCGAGAGAACAATCCAAAAAAGTGCATAAGAGCTATAACTAACTAAAGTATCTTAGCTAATAAATGTATTTATTAGAATCGTAAACGCTACACATAATACTGTTCCGATTATATTACGTTAAGAAACGTAACCTCTACAATTTAATAGTTTTGCACCTACGTACTGTCGAACAGTACAGATTCTACGCAATTTATTCATATAACTTATAAACAGAAAATAATTTATTTCATTATAAATAATAAATTATTGCTGAGCATATGATTTCTGTGCCTATATGCGGTCATATATCTCATCGCATGCACAACTGGAATATCTAAATTATTGGTAATCCCAATATTAAAGTAGCTTTAACAATATTATTTAGTAGTCTTGTTTTGGATTCATTTTACTGCAAAACTGTTACTGGAATATATCTCAAAGCATGGTAGACAGCGAAAACATGGATTTGTTGGCTGCAGCTTCCTGCATTGTACCTGGTAAGTTAAAAAAATAAATAAATAGATATTTACTGTTGAAATTTTCTTTAACGGGCTTTAATTATTTGACTCAAATATTGACACAAACAAAAAAAAAAATTTAAAACGAATGATCCATCATACAAGATTGGACATCGTTTAACAGAGGTACCCGTTAGGAAAATTTTCTTTCATTGTATACACTTATTCATTATCTACTTAATATATATGAACAATTTAATTTCAATAATTTTAAATTCTATTAAATAATAAAAAAGATTACTTGTAAAATTGCCACTATTTAGTTGGTTAATAATAATAGGAATTTAATAGTTTTTGTTTTAACAATATACATTCATTTACATATTTTATTTTTTTGAAAAATCCAGTTATATTTGCATTAAAAATAACATATATATACAAATGTAATATAATTGTCTTATTTCATTCAATATTATTTTGGTGTCCAGACCTTCAATCACTCGTTGAGCTCAATAGACTGGAACTGTGTCACCAGCATGAACCCATTATCGTGTCTGTGACGCATTATGTTAAAAAAATTTTTTTTTAAATCAATACTTAAATACATTTGCGACAATATCCTATAAATTCTTTCAAAATATGGCTATTTATTATTATGAATACAAGAAAAATTTATCTAAAATATGTACTCTTACTCTAAATTTGGCATAAAACTTATAGAAAAGTGAGTAGATAGGTAGATATATTCATAATAACGTGTGACACACTATATATATAAGTTATTAAAATGATAATAAATATATTCACATTTCAAAATCTAGTATATTTTTAACTATAGAAATTATTATTAATACTTTTATGTTTATCTAAGGGAGAATCCAGACTCATATGTCAAACATTTCAGCTATCCGTTTTGTGGTTGAAATAGCAATCACATTTTTTTTTCAATATATTATTTGGACCTACACCATAAGGCGTAAGTGGAATACATCTTTCTATACTGAATCTTTTTGAGATAATTTTCTATGATTTGTTGACATATAGTTTGTAATAATTTTCAAAGTGTCTGTAATTGGAAGATTGTCTATATAAACACAATCCTTAACATAACCTCATAAAAAAACTAAAACTTCATAAATTACAAGATTTTGGTGGCAAATTTACATTACCAAAACGTAAAATTCCACGTCGTACTGTTTATATTACATATCGTCCATACATATATCTTCAATTTCATGCTAAAAAACAGGGTTTAATATATGTCTGTCAGGCTGTAGTGTTCAGAACTGACGACTTTTGTCCTCTATATGCCATATCATACAACAATTTTTCGTGGACAGAACAAATAGATAATTGTGTTTGTTATTGTATCCACCAATAGAACAATGCGTCCTATTTTCGATACAAAATATACCACCGATCTATGCAAAGCTCTTCATTCGCTTAAATATAACTTTTGAAAAAGTACACATATTCAAAAAAAATATATGCAACAACTATTTTCTCATAGTAATTTATTACTCTTCCTATGTATAAGAAATACGAGCCAAACGGTTGTGATTAAATACTTTCCCTAGACTTACACAATTAACTGGTTCAGATATTTATGTTATGCAACTCCAGAGTCCTCTCTACAACATTTATTGAAGTAGAACTACTAAAAGTTTCTATTAATTCTTTGAAACTGATTAATATTTTCAGCTAAATCCCACTTTATACCTATATTGTCACCAATACTGTTGCTGTTTAATATACTGTCTAAGTACTTCTCATCATCTTTCCAGTATGCTATGGTTTGTTTGCAAAACGAGTTTCTTAATTTAATTTATTTATAAGCGAGTTAAGTTTGTTTTTAAACCAATAGATTAAGTAAATAAAAGAATTATATAAAAATTATATTATTTATAATTAAATCTTACTGAATATATTTAATGCCCAGCCAACAGTAGTTACAGACTTTGTTTATATTGCAACATATTTGTCACTTCATTATTTAATTATTCTAAATAGAAAAGTATAAAATGTCATATAATATACGTTATAGCATATTATGGCATTAATTTGTAAATTAATTATAAATTATAAATTAATTATACAGATTAATCATCCATTATCGATTTTCTATATAGATGATTTACACTCGTGTTTGCACTGAAACCTTTTGCTTTATTTAGATATAAACGGTATTATTCCATATGTATGTCCAATTTTCTATATATAATATAAAGAAAATATTGTATATGAACACAATCTATATTTCATATTTAGAATAGGTGAAGGTTAGCCTGGGTATATATAATTAACTAGTTTTATCAGAGCAAAAGGATGCCTACTTTCTATAAAGATTAGTTTGTAGAATTTTTAATATTTCTTAGTTCATTATTATACAATTCTGATGATACTATTTTGCTGTTGTAGTCATTTCAGTTCTATTACTCTCTCTGTTGCCGCAGACATTTCTCTAGCTTTCTTTAAAATTGTCAAAAACTTCAACAGCAATTGAGAGCGGGTATTCGTTATCAATGATAATGAACTATGGATCGTAGACCTGACCATTTCTCTAACTTCATTTTGTGCTCAGTGATGTTTATTATACTCATCTATTATATTAGATAGTCAAATCTATTATAATATACGAGAACTGTGTAATTGTGTTTTCGAAATTACTTGTGTACTGTTGTAATGAAACATAATTTCTTTTTTTAGTAGATTTGTTCTACTTTCTTCCTTCAATATTACCATTCAAGTAATTAAATTGGTTGGTTATTATTTTGCATTTTTCGAGGTAGGCTAACATTATTGTACCCGGACTTCGCTTTTCTCGTACAAAGTTTATCGGGAAAAGTTCACTATTTCAATGTATGTTCTTTTGTTTCCGATATATGATGGAGTATCTATGTTTTATCTACGGTAATTTAAGTTTCTTAAATATTTAATGTATTGATGTACGCTTTAACACAGAAGTGTTTCTACGATCTATTACGGTCATACATCACAAGATCATAGATCAACAAACTTCCGAATTCATCATATCGATATTTATTATTGTACTTAATTATAAATTTTCACTAAATCAATAATTTAATGCACAGTTAAAAAGCGATCCACAAGACATTGAAGTCGCCTTGTCTAAAGTCCTGGACAGAACGCAGGAAGTGGTTGATGGATTCTACCTCCTCTTCATCTTGGCAACTCCTGCATAATCCACTTGTTGGAATTCGCCACCGTTGGAGCATAGGCGCAATGGCACAATGCCCCGTTAGTACTCCAGTAAGCACACTAACTACAGGTTTGGTAAAAGGCTTTTCGTTTTATTTTTGTAATGGTTCAAGCAATCTCACAGTCCTCGCGGTTAGCCCATAAATTATCACTACTTTGTTGATATTATTTATCATTTCCAAAGTTGTTATTGTATTTCACTTGGAGGTTTTAGCGGCATCCTTGGCCTTTCATGAAACTTGATAAGCACTTTACAATCATGATTGTCCATATTGTTTATTAAGTTTTTTGTTTAAAAAAATTTATTTTGAAAAAATTGTACGTACAGAGCATACAAAATACTTCTTTCTACATTTTTGCTAACTCAACAAAACAAATAACTCCGATATCAGAGAATTGATCGAGATTAGCGTTGCAAATGCAGTGGATCAGTCCGGAACTCAAACTGCTTAAAAATCACAAACAAATATTAGACATATAGAGATAAAACTGTTTTCTCACAATTCTTCTCCGATGCACTCAATACGAGTATAAAAAGTTATTGTCAATATGCACAGCCAAGTAGAGATTTGATGGGCATCATGCGAAGCAATGTTCATCTACAAGCATAAAAAAGTTTAATTTTAAATTAAATATGCAGGTACTATTTTGTGTTTGATGTAGATATTGTCGTGTAACTCTTCTCATAGATGTCTGTAACCTCCACGAAGTCTTGTAAAAGAATAACTCTGAACTATTTTATGCAGTTGTCTTTAATTTATAAAATAGTTTTCAAATTTTTAAATCTGTTAATTATATTCTTTTTTTGTGTCTTATTGTCATCTCTGATGCTATGTAGATTTTCTAGACATTTCTAATAGAATATAGACTAGACCATGGTCATTTCTAATAGAAAGCAGTATAACTTCGTAATAGTGTTTGCGTATTCTCAGAATCTTTGCTTTTAGAATTTCAATAATGAACTTTTCCTTCTTTTCTTTTTATTGTGCTGATGTGGTATGGAATATTAATAATACATCTTATTGAGATACTATATAGCTTATTTTAATTTAAAAATATACTAAATAAACCGACTGAAACACTCATTAAAAAAATGCATTCCACGGTTAAAGAAATAAGTTCCAGTGAATTTTTCACATTCATTTCAATAAATTTATTTGAAAAATATCTATTAAGCAACCGAAACACTTTTCGAATTTATAGTAAATTTACTTTTCAATTATGCAGCGATCGTAAAATTATTAATTAAAAATTATTTTTGTTTTATTGAGTGGAAGCCGCAGCCACATTCGTAGCTGTTCAACGTGTTTTATACTCGCTTAAACGATGCTAAATTCTTCAGACAATTTTCATGAGTGATTGTAACAACTTTTACTTCTGATTTAATTATTTACATTAATTATTTCCAGCTACTCATCTGCATGTGAAAACCTTTTATGCACTTTGAAAGTATATCTTTTTAAAAATTTCATAAAATATTTTTACAAATCTGTAGATATTAAATATTTCAAATAGAACGCTATTAATGTATACACATTATTGTGAATTAATTAAGGAATATTTTTCAAATAATAAAATTTTTATTGCATTTTTTTTTGTTTTTTATTACATATATTATAGACTTCTTAGACTTTAATATATTTTTGTTCGGATTCACAATAAAACAATGCTGACGTCAACAAAGTAATATGCAAAATATCTTATAATTTAAAGAACTGTTGGCTGGTGGGGGTCAGTAATATTTATAAAGTGATTCTCAATAATAGTTAATAGTTGAAAACCCAATTCAATTATACCTTTATCTATTAGAGCCTTTAATA